TAAACAATTTGTTTCAATCCATGAATAGCTATAGCGTATAATATAATGTGAACGTAGTTTTATTAAATTATTTGTTTCGTTTAAAACATTGTGTTTTTGATTTTCGGTCAGATCTTAATGCGGATAATATAATTAGATTTAATTACATACATGTTTTATTAATTATAATTCTAGCTACATATTTTCAAATAATTAACTATAATGAACTTACCATCTAATAAACATTTTTTAATTGCATATTTCTTTCCGTTTTGTTTGTGCTTAACTTTGAACACCTGTCCAAAACTCCCAGATCCTAACCTATCCAGTGTATTATACATTTCTATGATATCTAGTTCACTTTTGGTTTCTAATACAGATATTTGTATAATTTATTCAATCTTTAATAATATAATAATCTAATAATTTAACATATTTTATTTGTAAATTTATTACCGTGAATTTTTCTTGCTAGGCAGGATGAATTGTCACATTTACTTACATCAATTGTTTCATAAGTTATTTGATGTTTATTAGCAAAATATTCATCAAATGATGTGTACTGTGTTTCATATAATTCGCTGCCAACTAAACCTTTTTCATACACTTTATTTCCACTAATACCGACTACAATGTCAAAAATCTTACCTCTAATTGTAACAAATTGATTAAACAATAACTTATTGATCATAGTCATTTTGCCGCGATTTCTATCATATTTGTAAACATGTTTATCATTTGATAGCATAGCATAATTATGTTTGGAAAAATCACGATTAAAGTATGTATACATTAATTTTATATTATGCACATTTGGAAGTGGTCTAGGTGGAAATATAGTAATTAGTTTCATATCGTTCATGTCCCCGATGTCAATCACCTGACCATTACATGTAATGCCAAATAATTCTCGTTGGCAGCAAAATATATTCACAAATTTGTAGTTATTTTTAAATTTAATTGTATGCACATATAAATGAATATCACCTAGTCCAAATTTTAATTCATGAATACAGCCATCGTTTGTAAGAACAAATATTATTAGACCAAAACACAATATTTTTTCAACACGTATATCATGTAAATTATTTAATATTTTGTATGGTTTACTATATATGTATATATAGTTTATAAGTAATGGACCCCAAAAGAAAAACTGATGATCGCTATTCAAAGCAAATACAAAAGGTTTCTCAATAAAAAATTGTTTTATATTTTGATGCCTTAATTGTATGACTTCTTCGGGCGTATCGATGGGTCGGTTGTGTCCCAAACCCAACACTCCCTCACTATTACTGCCCAACCCATAGACCCGATCATCAGTTGTCACAAACAATATGTTTTTCCCTTTAAGGTCATCAAAAATATGAAATAATTGTATTTCTTTTTTCAAACTATTGGAAATGTTGGCACAAATTTCAAACTTTTCAAGCATCTCGCACATTTTAAATTTACGTGTATTTAAAACTGTATAAATTTATATTTTTATATTTATTTTATTATACGATAAAACTATTGTACGTATAAAATAAACATTGTTATAATTGAGATAATTATTTACTGTTATTTAAATTATTTTTCAATAAATTATTTAACGATGAATCCAATAAAATAAAAATTAATATCAGCATTCAAGAATAATATTTTTAAATATAAATATTCTTAAATAATTGTAACAAATAGTTCTTGTTTAACAAGGTAAATCTATTTAACACGCAGTTATATTTTTATAATTAACATAAATGCAGTTTCAAACAAAAGGTTTGGTTGTTAGAGACGAACACAAAATACATGATAATTGCTATACATTTCATAACAGCAAATAATCTTTAATAAGTAAGATTATTTTTGAATTACCGGTTGTGATGTTTTATTATAAATATCATGTTCTAATAATTATATAAATAGTATAATAGAAACAACATAACTTATATTATTACAGTATTTTATAAATGTAAATTACATTTAATTAACGGTATTTATAATTAATTTATAAATAAAAGAATCAAACAAACATTGAATTGTACAGATTTAATATTATATTACAACGTATGACATTTTAAATGTTGGTTTTAATAAAACTATTTAAATAATAATTATACAATTGTTGTATTTTAATTAAATATAATGTATTTAAATGTATATTCTAGATAAGATATAGAATTTAATATATAAAATTTAATAATAATGAGTATTTACAAAAATAATTATATTATAATTAAAGCAACCAATAAATGAGTCATTTAATATGCAGACTAAACAAAAACTATGAATTAGTTAGAGAATCAGAATTTAACTAATGCTTTAAAATGAACAAATTGTTGTAATAGTCATTATTGTGCGCAAAACTATGAAAAATGCTCCACAAATGCTCCAAAACGGTTTGCTTAATTATAATAATTAATTTCAATTTTCAATTTTAGCAATTAAATTATTATGTCCATTAAATAACTAGTAGTTAGGGTGATTATTATTACAAACATTATAAAAATTTCAAACCAATTGAAAATTATAAATAAAGCATAGTATGTAATAAATAAATAAAATGCAAAAATAAATATAAGCTCAAAAATAACATATATGTGTATTATTACTAATAATTTATTAGAAGTGTTAATCAATTCTTATCACCTTGGTACTTGGTTGTATTAATATGTAACTAACTAACCACAATATTTAGCTCATGATCTATTGTGTTGGTCTCCGGAGCGACATAATTGCAACAACCTCGTTTAAGTAGATAATAAACAATCTAGAATATAAATGCATTTAATTTATATACAGTATTTATATACTTGTCACAATCGCTTACCATAATAGAAATACCGAGATAAAAGCATACAAAATGTGAAAACAATGCAATCATTTTATACCACCGGCTGTGCGGACAATGGGTGTACCAAAAGGCCATTAAAATGCAATTCTCGATAAACACCATGGTGTAATAAATAATTCGTTTGCCTGATAGTTTACCACGTGGATTGTGGAAACTAAATATAAGCACGTAGGCTAACCATGCTGAATTCTTAAATGAGATTTTGTTCAATTTTAACTCATTGTTATTATTTTTAACGCAAATGACCCAGGCAAACATCATAAGCCAATAGGCGCATATAAATACACCCAGATGAAATGGGAATATGCTGGCAAACAATGAGAAGGCTAATACACGGGCGGCTATCGTGAAAAAGACCCAGGTAAATTTCACCATAAATTCCTACCATAATTACAAAAATACATGTTATTGTATTTTATCATATTGTAATTATATGTAATAATTATGCATATACCTGCTTATTGATTACGTCACCTTGGAGAGAAAAATTGACCAGTGCCATAGACAGGGCTACTAATGATCCCAACACTGACACCACTAATAATATTACAATTAAAATTAATGGCACAAAGTTATAATTACTATAATAAAGCTAAACTAAAAACCTAAATTGTACCATAACCAAAATAAGGGTGGTGTAAATACCTGTCCATATATTGGTCGACTGTGGGTCACCCTTAGCCACGATATAGAGTTGAAGCACGAGCTGAGGGGCCGACTCCATGAAGCAGTCAATTAGACTCAAGCGACTCATGTATGCCTTTTTGTAAAACACGCGCAAACTGTGTTCAACCCTATCTTCATACGACCTAGATCGTTGTCTAGATTTTAGGCCATCGGCCAATATGTCGATATATCGGTAAACCGGTCCCAATTGTAGCCATACAAACACAGTGCGAGTATAACGTTCACAAGTAGTTACTGGCTGTGGCTGTTTTGATTCATACCAGCGCCGGGTAATTACCGCCATCACCAATGAGGGCAACACTACGAACAACAGGGTTAGCCCGCAATACCTGTGTCCGAGTTATGTTAGTAAACACGGTATGTTATTTGTACTGTAATGTTAAATACTAAAACTTGCATAATACCAATAATGTTTATTAAAATAATGATGGGTGGCCAGCTTGACATCGCTGCCTACATCCCAGATGTAGACCACGATGGATGATATGGTCAATACAATGTTGGTGATGGTGAATGGTACGAGTTTGAGCATGTTCGTGGCCTCCGCCACCACTTGGTTGGTTTGGTCAACACGTTTTGGTTCATTGTTTTGTTGGCAATTTGTGGTCAGTGGCGGAGCCGGTGGTGGTTTTGGCGACGATGTGTTGCCACTCGTGTGGCTCTCATTCAGTGGGTTATTGTCCGCCGATTGTGTCCACCGGACAGGTGTTTGGTTCACACATATCTGGCTATTAGTGTGTGAAGTGTTTTCAATTGCCATTGATTTTAATTATGTTTACAATTTTTATTAAATCATCTTGGTTTTTTTTAAAACTTTTAATAAAATTTTATAATTACATTTATTCACAAGTTATTATATTTAATAATAATTAATTATTTAAAACACAATATTTAATAAAAGTTTAATGACATAGCTGAACATCATAAGCCAATGTGCGCATAATACACCCAGATGAAATGGAAATATTCTGGATAAAAATGCTAAGGCTAATACACGGGCGGATATTGTGAAAAAGCGCAAGATAAATTTCACAATTAATTCCTATTATAATTTGAAAATACATGTTATTTAATTACATAATTGTATATTGTAATGATTGTGCATAGTTTTAAAAGTTATTTGTTAAAACAAATAAAATCAAATAATACACACCAAATTTAATTTATTCATATAAGGTTTAGGGCCGGCGTATGTGCCCTATTTGTTGTGGTCGGAGTCGTTGTGGTGCTCGTGGTTTGTGGCAGTTATGCTCCGCTACTGTATATCATTGAACTTGAGTTGTTTGGTTAACAGCGCTGAACATACAGTTATGTATGCTTGATGTTTATAATATTGTGTTTAATATATAGGAGCAGCATATAAAATGCATATTAACAATAGAAAATTAACATGTTATTGTATAATTATTTATGTTCTTTTTACTAAGTTTAATTAAATTATTATAGTACATTATTTAAAGAGATAATCGTATTAACTTACTAACTTATTCAATTCATATGTCATTTTTATGCCACAATTTTCTTACTATAACTATTCCCATAACTATTTTTACACGTTCGGCACCCTCCTCTCCCTATAATGAATAAAACTAATTCTTGTAAAAAACATTCAAAATTCTCAAAATAACAAAAGTGTAAGTATTCCAACAATCGTATTGAAAAATTTAAAATCTCTTGATGCATTTCCCGAATAGTAGTTAACGTATAGCATCGCTGTGTGATCCTTGTTTTTAAAGACGTGCTCTAAGTAATTGAAATTCAAATTCCGTGCAGTCGCCTATTGTACACCTAATATAGTTTGATTAATAATATTTGTTAATTAAGGATATTATAATTAATAAATTTAAAATTACCAAAACACATAACAATACTTACCACTTGGCAACCCCAATTTTGTCCATGATTGCAATGTATTCGTTAATCATTGTGTTGTATTCGTCCATCATGTTTTTGTATATGTCCCTGATTAAGTTGTCTACCTCAGCGATTCCCTTGTGTTTGTCCGTGATTGTCTTGTCTAATTCCAGGATTTTATTGTATCTGTTCACGATTTTGTTGAATTTGTCAACGATTTTGTTGTATTCATCCATTACTGTGTTGTCTACTTTCAAAATTTTATTGGATTTGTCCGTATATATCCATTTATAAAACACATACTGTATAGTATAGAGTGTTATAACAATTAGTTTTATATACAAATAAATTATGCAATTGAAATTATTTTTGATCTAATAACACTTGCTCAAATAGTAATAAATTTAAAGTAATTTTCTGAAATGTTATATACTTAAACAAAAATAATCTATATAATTAAAATTTATGTCATAGATGAGAATATAACATAAATTTTTATAAATAAAAAATAAATTAAGTTAAAATGTAATAGGGCTGTCAAGTAATTCAAATTATGCATCTAATATATTATCACTGTACAAATTATAAATTGGAACCATCTTATATTTCTTATAATTTAACCAATAACATGATAATTCAAAATTGTCTTATATTTTGTATACCACGTGACCAAAATAAATTGATAAACTATGCAAAAGATTTTGCGTATAATATGGGCTATTGAATGCTTTTTACATAATTAAATTATCCTTTATAGTTTAAATAATATTAAGAATACGGTACGATTGTAATTAATTGACCGCCCTATTTTAAACAAGACATAATAGTGTATGTTGAGTAAATGTTGAGGAAATAATGTACAGCAGTCTAAAATATTATACGGAGCAGTTTTATAATATACGTTTGGTTATTTACTAATTACTACACTAGTAAATACACTTACCAAACAGGCCAGTGAAGCGAAAAAACAAACATAATGAGCGAATAACGCAAATAGTCTGTACCAAAGGGTGTCATGGCTACTGGCGAACCACAAACTTAACATGACAATATTTTCGGCACCAGTTAGCGCATAGTAAATACACAACCTTTTACTAGTAATAAAGTCAAACCAGGAGAAGAAACAGAATATGTTCGCAAACGCAAATATAGTGCTCTCACCTAGTTTAAATAATGATTTATACTCAAACTTTAATTTTGCTTAATAATGTTTGACATAAATAGAATTTTATGGACATTTATATTCATACATATTTTACAAAAAGCCTGCGATCGGTAGTAATAACTTACATAATTTGTGCCATATACTTAATGTAGTACGTCTTTTGATAACGTACGTGGCAAACATAATCAGCCAATGAGCGACACAGACAACGATTGCGAACACTGGGAATACGCTGGCAAATAACGTTAGAGCTATTAATCGCGCAACTATATCGAATATTCGCCAAATTATTCGAATAATTGTTTCCTTTACAGGGTCATTTAATAGATATAAAGATATTAATACATTGAAAATATAAATATTTTTAACTATAATTCTATATAAATAATTTATCAGCTTGATATATTAAATTTATATTTTTTATTAACCATAATTCAGCAATTAATAATGTTGTTTATATTATTGTTTGGATACCCCCCGCTCTATGGAATTTAACAAACGATTACAGCATAAGTTGTTGGCTATACTTTAACATGGGACTAATTTTATCTTATGGGATTAATGTTAAGACTATGACGTAGGTATAACATGGTTAATGCTAAGTCTATGGCAATGTTTATCCTATGGGAAATTTTTTTAATAAGTTTTTATAAAATTACAGCCTAAGTCTATGACAAAACTTGCAGTTTGCAACATTGCAATTTGGGCAATGATAAGTCTATAGTATTAATGTTAATTCTATATACACTGTGTATACGATAGTTTGCCCTACTGTGTTTTTCTATAGAAAACCATTATATGACTACAATATCTTTATCAGGTGTAGACCAGGCATCTGTAAACCGATTTTAATAAACTTGGATGTTTTCAAATAAGTAAAAACTACACTTCAAATTCTGATACTCAACATTTACTCAACATACACTATTATGTCTTGTTTAAAATAGGGCTGTCAAGTAATTCAAATTATG